CTTTTTTCCTTCGCAAATTTTGGCGAAAACACCAAAGCAAAATAGCGACTGATAAAGCTGATTACGGACTTTGAGTGTTTTGTGAAAAGACTATGGCCCAAAAAGTTTTCAAAAGCCTTCATTCTTGTCATTTGGGGGATGCGGTTATCTTGGTTATCCGGTACATAATAGCTGAGAGACAGATTGTAGAAGTTAGCTTACTTAGAGAGGAAGGTTTTCATAGAGCAACAGACATTTGGCTACTGCATTCATTATTAAGTTTGGTGCAACATGTTCAAAGCAAAGTAGCACAGAGGAACTCCATTCAAACCTCATGTGAAAAAAACCTTAATTTGAAATGTAGGAAGATATGACATTATTTTATAATTTATTATCAGTTAAGCCTGACATCAAGGAAAAAGGTTCTAGAGGCTAATTTTTGTAGGACATGATATGGATGGTGAACTAATCTGAAGGTAGACCTGTGAGGCGAATATAAAGAGAACAGTTCCATGCTTTTGGCATTTCTGACACTCAAAGCAGGTTTGATGACACTGCAACATTCTATTAAACGAGCATTTTTCTAAAACAAAGTAAAGTAAGCCAAATCATTACAATAATGTTCCTAGCAAACAGCTCACTGCTTTTAATGCCTGAGTCGTTACATATTGAGGATATACTTGCGCAAGCAAGTGATGATCCAACAAGGGAAGAATACTTGCGAAGTAGCAATTTAAGAAGCGATGCATACCGTAGGTATGGTTTTAAACGCTGACCCCAAATTTATCTTCTATATCTTGTAAGCGTTTTTCTGAAGGTTTTCTGTGCGAAAATTAGCTTGCGCGCTTGGTCAAAAATTGTCCTACAACGTCAAATCCGGCATGAAACGAAAAGCAAAGGGTTGTTTTATAATGAAGGCATGTTCTTCTTAATATACAGACTTTGTGCTGCTGTTCTAGGTCCAGTTTGAAATTTTGATCATTTCAAATCAAATCCTGTAAGCCATCTTTAATAAAGAAAAGGATTGTTTTATCATAACTCCTATCGTTCATAACTTCTTCCAAAGAAACGCTTCCAGATGTGGAAGACAAACTTGGAATCACCGTTTCAAGTTACACTGATTTATCTTTTCAAACTACTTCGACCAGGTATCCCTTGTAAGAAATTTCGTCAGTGGGTCTGTAAGTGTAGATGATAGGTCCGTATAAGAATTTTTTCGAATGCTTATGTAGTCTTTTGTACCCGTTTTTATCATTGGTTACTTTCGTTGTCGATACTTTGGAGTTCTCTAAGCAATGTTACGGTTCTCTCCGAACGCAAAATTTTGTGTAACATCGTGCGAGTGTGCAGTATAGGTACTACTCCTATATATGAAGGAACAATCATTGCAACTCCGTCGCTCACATATAGTCGGGTGGAGAGTAAATTTGCAATTCAGTTAGCGAGTGTACATGAAAGAAGGTTGAGGAAATAAGCTGTACATAAAAAGATTGTTAAATTGGTCTTAGAACGCTGATCACAAATCTACCTGCATCATCTACAAAACAACTCTATAATGAACCTAAGTTTATAATTGCACATTGCGTGTCACTAATCTGAAAACATTTACCATGAAAAATATCCCATTATTTTGTTTCGAAGACAAAGTACTGAGCAAGAATTGAAATGTTGTGTACGACTCGATTAAGAGAATCCTTTCATGACTACTCTACAGAATCGTTTCAAAAGGGAGGTCAGCTTTGAGATGGCTTCAAAGTGAAATGTTTAAGTTGCTCTGTATCCTTTTCTCTTGCAGTAATGAGTTTCTAAACTTTTGTAGCAAAGTAATAAAACTTGATTGTATTTAGAAAATACTTACTAATATTAACTTGGTTAGAAAAGATTTACGGGCAATTTTGCCCTTCCTCTGGAATGCGAGTATTCGAAGGGCATGTCTATGATGATGATGTAGATGTGCAAAGAACGAACATGCGGTATAACCATTATAATCAAGTAAAATTGCTCATTTTTCAAAGGTTGAAACATTGTGCAGTGGGGATCGAATTGAGAATAAAAATATTAAGAGAGCTGTTTGATCATGATTCAAGGACAGGCTTGTATAACAACGATGGAAGCTCGGGTAATATGGAACATAATAAACTGAAAGAAAAAGCGAAATTAGATGTATAATGTGCCATTATGCCAAAGGATCTATGCAAAATTGCACTTTTATAGACCTTCGCTCTAACTGCGCAATAGATCAGAAAGCAATGGAGTTGTAATAGATGGTAGACTGGGATGCAAACCGACTTGGGTGTATTTACCTAAATGTATCGAGTACTGGTTTGAATGCCTCATGTACACGACCATCAGTAGTGACTGGTCGACGCCTTCTCTCCTTTAATTTCAGCACCAAAATCGTGGACGCAACTAACATCGCTAGCAAACCAACGATTAGCTTCATTACTGCCCATAGTAATCCCAGATACATCTGAACGTAAATTTTATCAAGAGAAGTCTGTATTTTTCTAGAGATGTTGAGGCCTAATGGAATACTTAAGGTCTGGCAAGCACTTCCATGGATCTGAAGTGCACACAACAAAAAGGAGTATCAAACTATTTCCTTCTATTTTGCACTACCAACGATTTCGGCTGACTCATCAGATTAAGCAAATGATTCAATGAAAAGCAAATAATGGCGCAGAGGGTGAAAGGAGTGGAAAAGGCGAAATTTCTGCAATTGATCCCTCTATAAAATGCCGGTCCTAGACGCTGTTTTGGAGACGAGATCTCAACCTACCACTACTGCAGAGTCACCGTACCTAGACGCAGTCAGCTAGCAGCGAAGGATCACCGGGTGATGCAGAGTGGTGAGTAAAATGAACATATCTTCCAGAAGGAGGTGATGTTGTTTTTGAGCTGTGGGGGTTGCTGCTAAGTATTGATGATAGTGGTGAGCCGCAAAAAATCATTCTTTGTTATCGGAAAAGTTTAGTTGGAAATGGACAACGGTACAACACTCATGCTGCAACAAATATCTTCGAAAACAGGATGTGATTAGTATTGCAAGTTGCTTCAAACCATTCAAATTCTAGCAATACTGTTTGGTTACTTTCTGTTTATTGTTTTATCTTCATTTTTGAATGAAAGTTATGCATTTGAGTTATGAGGAGAAAACACAAAACATCGTGTATTTTCCTAATATTTGCGGAAAAACACAATTTGTTCTTGTTGTATGAAAAAAATGGGAACATTGCCAGATCCTCGACAATTTGAGAGCCGACCAGTCGTCCGCACTTTCACTGTTATAAATGATCATGCCTTATGATAAAGAGCTTAGTTTTCCTTTGATGTGTGTGAATGCATGTATGCATGTGTGCTTTTCTTTGTCTTTCACGTAACCTTGCTTGTCCTACAAAGGTCAAAGGAGCTATTAATTATTATCATTTAATTATAGAGCGCTGAACATTAGCAAATTTTCTTGTGAAGATGAAGCTGGTTGTTCTGTGTTACTATGGACGGCTCAAAAATGAGGTCAAAGTCTTTGCGTCTTTCTTTTTCAAGACGGTTGAGGTGAGATCAACATTTTAACTTTTTCAGCAAAGGTGCACATGCGATG